ACTCTTTCTGCTTCGTGTCTGGCTCTAGCGCCATCCTCTATCTCAACGGGGACTTCGAAGGAGGAACGTTTTACTTCACCGAAATGGATGCCAAGACTGAGACGGTCAGTGGCCTCTGCATGTGCCTTTTGGGTGATTGTGGCAGGGGCATGACTGGGGCTGGGTGCCTGGCCACGTTATGCCTCTGGGATCTGGATTAGACACCGCTGGAAGCACGGACAAACTGCTCCTCTCGCTTGCCCCTGCCAGCTCTGCCTGGCTAAACAACTTAGTCTGAGAGACTGCGGTGGGAGCAACCCTGAGCTGGTGAGGCTGGAACTGCATGGCTGTCAGGGTGCAGAAGGGGCTGGGCTGGATGCCGCACTCAGCTGCATCTCTCCCAATCCTGAGCACAGAGCATCTGCACAGCGTTCCCTCTAATGCGGCAGCAGGGAAATGGGGCCTGGCTGTGCCAAGCTGTGGGCTGAGCAGGGTTCCCTGTGCGGCAGAGGCACTCCAGTGCTGGGCAGGGAGCACTCCTGAAGAAGATGCAGCCTGGCATTTGTCACAACACCCCAAACCCAGACTCAGCACTGGTTCAGCCTTGCCAGCCTGCGCACAGGGCTCAGGAACTTGGGGAGCATCCACAGGGCAGTGCCGGGGGTAGCTCCTAACCAATCTCCCCACTGCAGGCAGAGGTGCAGCCACAGTGCGGGCGTGCGGTTGGCTTTTCCTCGGGCTCAGAAAACCCTCACGGGGTGAAGGCTGTGACCAAGGGCCAGCGCTGTGCCATTGCGCTCTGGTTCACCCTGGACCCCCGGCACAGCGAACGGGTAAGTGGTCCCAGGCTGCTGCTTTGTCTCCTCTTTCCCAAGGGCTCTAGAGAGCTCTGGGGCACAGAGATGGCTGGATGAGGTCTCCAGCAGTTCACCTCTCCCTCTGAAGCTGGCTGTTTGTAGGTTCTGGTATGCACCCCCCGCCCCCCCGGTCCCATAACAGCAATGCGGGGGCACGTCCCAGCTCCTGCAGCACGCAGTAACCCTGCTCTCACCCGCAGGAGCGTGTGCAAGCAGATGACCTGGTGAAGATGCTTTTCAGTGCAGAGGAGGTGGATCTGCCTCCGGAGAAGATGCCAGAAGTGGAGCTGGCAACCGCAACAGATGCTCCCAGCCAGAGTGTGGAAGGAAAGGATGAGCTATGATGCCTTCTGAGGCTCTGCCCTGCTGGGAAGAAGGGCGCTAGCTAAAGCATTTCAGGACTCCACCTGCCTTGACTGCAGCTCGTGGATGTGAGGCACTTGTCCTGAGCCTCTGACAACTGACTAGCTCCTTTAAAGCCTCTCAGCAGGAGCAGCAGTATCTGTGGGCTGCTTTGATGCCTGGAGTCTGAGCACAGCTGGGGCTGAAAAGGAACCTGCTGGTTTTGCACCGTACCCACCACACCTGGGTCCTTTGTCACAACCAGGCTCCCGATCTCCCATTGCAAGGACACAAATCCTTGGCTACTGAGGCTAGCCCATGGTGGGTCGTGTCACAGACAAGGCTGCACCTGCAGTGGGGACTCTCTCTGCCCCTGGGTGGCAAAAGTCCAGGATGCTGAGGTCAAACACCTTGAGACTTGGTACTTCGGTGTGGGAAAGAGCTGGAGCTGCAGCCAGTGCCCCCCACAGCCCACAGAGGACCTCTGAATCCAAACCATTATGTGCCACAAGTATTTAAGTGCCTTCTGCAGATGATTAGGAAATAAAGGTTTCTTTTCTAATATGCTCGTTGTTTCTTTGTCAGCCGTGTCTGGAGCTCCTGTCTGCTGCTTACGTGGCTGGGATTCCAGGCCCCTCTTGGCTCCCTGCGCTTGGGTTGCAGCAGGGAGTGGGTCAGGGCTGGGGTATAGGTAGGTGTCCTGCGTTTCCCCTGTTTCCCAAAGACCTTTCCACCTGCCATTCTGGTGCCTCCACCTGATCTGCTTATGCTTTTTGGTCTCTTTATGCAGATGATGCTCCTGTCCTTGTCCTGGTTTAGACTCCCTTCTACCTTCTGGCTTTCTTCTCTAACCTCTGACTGAGCCACCCCTCTCCGTATTCCCCATCTGTCCCCCTTCTTGCGCATCCCACAACCTCGTCCTTGGATCTCTGCACCTTCCCAGTACTCCCTGTTGCTCAAGGTCACCCCCTTGACTAGTACCTGCTCATCCTTGCCCCTCTGCTGCCTCTCCATGCATCTACTTGAGAGGAAGAGGAACTGACCGGCGCTGTGGCATCCCTGTCTGCCCCTGCGGTCTCTGCTGCTCTCATGTTCCTTGCATGGCACGAATAGAAGGGTTTGCAATTGTGGGCCTCTTACTCTCCTGCCTGCCCTGATAGCTCCTGGTCTGTCAGTCTCCCTGCCACCTCCTCCCGTGGTTGCTTCTGTCCTTGCTGGTAGTGGAAGTGTTGAGGAAAAGCCAATTGCCCTGCAGCTGGTGGGACCTAAAGCCCCTTTTGCATGGTCAATGGCTTGTACAGATCTAGGATGCATCTCTGCCCAGCAAGTAGGAGAGGGGGAGCTAAGGAAGCCAGTTCTGGTGTGGCTGGGCGATGGCGTTAGCACAGCAGTACTTAGACTCAGGGTCCCTTGGGGAGCGTTTGTCAAGTTACTGTTCTCGCAGGCTTCAGCTTGGCCGCTTGAGGGCAGCAGCACACAAACAGTCCAGTGGAGACGGCGCACGCGGGACGCGAGTGGGAGCTGCAAAGAGGTTGGAATTGAGCCGAGAGAGACTCGGGCCTGGAGAGCAGGGTCGCTTGTGTTACGCAGTGCTGATTGCAAAGCTATTGGTGGCTTGGCTAGCATAGTTACTGCTGACTTAATTTGCCTTCTTCCTGTCTAACCTGCCTTCTCCGTAGCTTTGTCTCCTGCTGCGTTCGTGGAGCCAGTCGCGTCCCGTTGCCCAGAGCATACTGGGAAGTACGGGATGGAGGGAACAGGTAACAGGGCAGACCCAGATTGCTGTGGACACGGAAATCATGCCTGGCGGAAAGCAGCAATTGCTTACCTTGCTGACAGAAAGCCAGTGTTGGCAGAGGTCCCAGGCAGGGCCCCGTGGGGCAGCACTGCAGTGCTGGACAGGTGGGCTGCACCACTTGAGCCCTGGCTCCCAGGGAGTGCAGCAAGTGATTTGGGAGAAGTAGCAGGTGTGCAGCTGACTGGGGGTCTCACTTGTTAGGTGTGTCTTCCCAGCTCCGTTGACTACAGAAGCCTTGTTTCCCACTGGTGGTGGGCTGGGGCCGCCTGGTATTCCTGGTGAGTGGATGGAGAGGGGAGCAGTGTGCGCTGATGCTAATATGCTTCAGGTAGTTTAGAAAGAGGCTTTTATTACCTTGGAGCAAGCCATAAAGCGGACGCAGTTCCCAGCCGTGGACACCCCTGAGGTGACTGCTCCGGGCTGGGGCTGCGTGAGCAGGGTATTTAAGAGTGAGGGTGCACACACAAGACTTGGCCTCTGCAGGCAGTGCAAGCACTTAGCTTTCCCTCCCCAGCTGGCTGCACAGCTCGGGAGCTGGCCAGATTCCACCCATTTCTCTGAAACACCGGGGATTGAGGCTGGCCTTTTAGACCATGTTCACAGGATAGGCTGGCGTGTCTGCTGTGTACGCATGCACATGCGTGTGCTTGAAGAGTATTCAGTTAAACCTTTTGTGTATAAGATAGCTGCCCTGTTGCCCCGCTTTGATCTCTCTGGGACAAAGCCCCTGCTCTAAGCAAAGCTTTGAGGAGAAGACCCCAGTGGAGGATCCTGCACTGCAAGAGGAGAAGGGGACCCCGTGCCACTCAGGGTGCCCGGACCAGGTGTGTCTGCCCGCAAGGCGTTCAGCGCAGCTGCTCTCGATGATGGTGACCTGGCACCACAAGGAAGACTTCGGGGCCAGGCTGCCGTTCAGGACTCCTGCTCCGATTACTGTGGCTAACTAGTAATGTGCAGCAATGCCATCTATCATCGACTTGCGGGCTTTTGACATTGGTCACTTCCTTACACTGTGGGCCAAACCCAGCAACAAGTCAGACAGTGAGATCTTTGCACTGCTACAGGATCACTTTGTATCGGCTCTATCCAGTGCAGCTCTGCATTAACCAGCGCAATCAGCTGCCAGGCCAAGGATCTGCAGCCCATGGCGCTGAGCTGCCTCATCTGTTGTTCCAGTATGAGTCTTGCGCTGCTGTGGGGGGACTTGCTGGTGTGAGGTTCCAGGTGAAGCCTTGCAACGCAGACTCCTCGGAAAGCAAAACTGCACGGACAGCAATGGCCATGAGGATGCATGTGCTCTCGAGGCCGAGGGCTCCAGTTGAGGGACCTTTCATTTCAAGCAGTGTTCAGGAAAATGACCTCATCGTTCCACCCACCCAGCAGCCAGGCTGAGCGGATGTGCTGAAGCAGAGCGCTGGCAGTGACTGGAACACACATTGGACTGCTTTCTACTACAACAGTGTACTGAGGTAGAACAGAGGGTGCTGCAGGCACTGGCTGACGTCACTGCACAGCCACTGTCACTGCATTTCATTTCAAGCAGTGTTCAGGAAAATGACCTCATCGTTCCACCCACCCAGCAGCCAGGCTGAGCGGATGTGCTGAAGCAGAGCGCTGGCAGTGACTGGAACACACATTGGACTGCTTTCTACTACAACAGTGTACTGAGGTAGAACAGAGGGTGCTGCAGGCACTGGCTGACGTCACTGCACAGCCACTGTCACTGCACAGTCCTGGAGGACTGGAAAAGGGCCAATGTGGTCCCCATTTTCAAGAAGGGGAGGAAGGAGGACCCGGGCAACTATAGGCCAGTCAGTCTCACCTCCATCCTTGGCAAAGTCTTTGAAAAAATTATCAAGGTTCACATTTGCGAGAGCCCGGCAGGAAAAATTATGCTGAGGGGAAACCAGCACGGGTTCGTAGCAGGCAAATCGTGCCTGACCAATCTAGTCTCTTTTTATGACCAGGTTACGAAACGCCTGGACGCAGGAGTAGGGGTTGATGTTGTATACTTAAACTTCAGGAAGTCCGATACGGTATCCCACCCCATACTGGTGAACAAGTTAAGAGGCTGTGACTTGGATGACTGCACGGTCCGGTGGGTGGCGAATTGGCTAGAGGGTCGCACCCAGAGAGTCGTGGTGGATGGGTCGGTTTCGACCTGGAAGGGTGTGGGCAGTGGGGTCCCACAGGGCTCGGTCCT